CCAAACCGCTGGACGACGAAGCACCATCACTCAGATATTTACAGACATAACAACGTTAATCTACGAAACCTTAGCAAATCCATTTTTATTATCTTTATTGGAACTGTAATGAGTTAAGGGACAATCATACCTCTCTGATGGGTCGAGAAATGCACAGTTTGGCTCCTCTTCGTTTGCAATCTGAAAATGTACATGGAATTTCAGATCACTTAAGAAATCCACTCAGGAAGAATGCCAAAAAGAAGTTTGTTGATGGCATTATAAATTGTGTCATGACACGGTCGAATCAGGCGCTTGTCAATTTTTGGGCATATGGAGGTATTGGTATCATCTTAAAGCCAGTTTATTAGCCCTCCCTTTGGTGAAAAAAATGTCCATCTATCTAGAATAGAAGTCGAAATATTTGTGATTGAAGAAGCAGGGGGGGGGGGGGTCACCTGATTTCAGTAAAATCAGTGAGAAAGTGGCCGCCCAAGTGTGACTTCCATAGTTTCAGAGTCCTTGGAAATTGAAAATATGCATTTTCTGTGCCTTTAATCACCGTTAATCTGTACACAGAGGTGTGTTTTTAAATGAACATAAAAGGTGTTGAGCCAAATGAAAAAGAACATTCGAAATAAAAATCCCAAACTGGTCGGAAAATGCTGATATCTCGGATTTCATTATTTCATCACGATGCATCACAATTAATCAACGAAAAGGTAATTCATTGTGCAATGCCTTCAAGTATACAACATTAGTCTAAAATAAACAGTGTGGTTAATACTCTTTTTGGAAAACAATGCATATCAGCTATGAATCTCTGTACGTGAGCTGAGGAGCACCAGAGAGGATCACATTGTGTGCTTTAGATCTTCTGCCAGTGAATTGTGTGTGTGTGTGTGTGTGTGTGTGTGTGTGTGTGTGTGTGTGTGTGTGTGTGTGTGTGTGTGTGTGTGTGTGTGTGTGCGGGCGCGCGCGTGAGAGTGTGGTAAGGTTTCATAATCACCTCTTAGCCATTTGGCTACGAGCAAAGTGTAGCATCTGTTCCAAACTTTTCTGCCTTTTGGCCGAGATCAAAACAGGAGTGATATGAAAAGGCAATCAGGATGGCTAAACTAGGCGCACAGAAAGAGCAACCAGACAACAGCATCAGCTACACAGAAATAAGAACTCTTATAAATACACAATTTAAAGCACAACTGACATCAGATAGCTACCATAAACTGTCCTGCCAAGATCAAGTGATTATTTTCAGACTAAGAACACAACACACAAGACTGAGACAACACATGTGCAGATCTTTTAAACTAGCACAATCACCAAAATGCTAGAGTATAGAGGCGGACGAAACTCTGAAACACATCCTTCAGCATTGCAAGACACCCTGAGACAGGAAACGTGGCCAACCCCACTGACACTACAAGAGAAGCTATACGGGCCGACAGATCTCGATGAACTGAGCAGGACAACCCAATGACAGATACCAGACTTCAAGTACGATGCGACCGAGAAGAAGAAGAAGAAGAAGAAGAAGAAGAAGAAGAAGAAGAAGAAGAAGAAGAAGAAGAAGAAGAAGAAGAAGAAGAAGAAGA